ACAAAATAGAGTACATCGATTTGGCCAGAAAAAAGATGTATTCATTTATAAGTTCATTTGTAAAGATACTCTACAAGAACATATCAAACGCAAAAAAAAAGTTGTCAATAACTCGAAACGTATCAAGTGGTAAAAACAACAAAATTCATTCAAAATTAACGCTTAATGATATTAAGTTGTTACTATTTGATCTATAAGGAAAAAAAACTATAAGAACTCTTAATATATTTTATAAAGTATTTTTTATTCTGTAAAAAAAAATATGGTGGTCCTGGATAACTCAAAAGGTAGAGCACTCACCTCTACTATCATACGTTGTAGAATCGAGTCCTGGTGTCCCATAAGTCGACACCCGTCCAGTCCCCACGGATCATAATATTCACGAATATAAAAAAAAAAGAAGGTTGAGAAGAGTAAAAAATAAGGTACCAGCGTACTGAAAAGTCAGGCCTCAGGGCATGATTCGGAGGAAGAGCCTCTCGCTCGGCACAAAAATGAAAAATCTTGTAATTTTAAAAAATCTTTTTCGTTTTCTTTTTTCTTTTCCTTCTCATTTTTTTTACTTCTTTATTTTGTGTGTATGTCTGTTTTTTTTTTCCTAAAGAAGATCCTCGACAAAGCTATTCGAGTTTCCAAGCTTAGAGAAAAGAAATTGCGAACGGAGTAGTAAATTCCTTTGAAAAATCCTTGTGGGAGAATACGAAGATTCTTTTTCTATGGAGATTCGTGAAGTTAAATTTCGCAGAAAGCGCATTGGCTATTTTAAACGAGTTGTTCTCCAAAGAAACAACATTGGATTGATCGTTGAACTTTCGTTAAATCTTGTAAATTTTTGAAGAAGAGAAAGAAAGAAAGAGAGAGAGAGAGAGAGAGAGAGAGAGAGAGAGAGAAAATAAATTCAGCAAGTAGTTCTCTCGTATAAAGTCAAATGAACCTCGCATGGGATGTTTTTTACAAATAAGCTTTCCAACGAAAATCTAAAACTACGAGTATGTTGTAGACGCGCGTTAACGAATTTACCACGTGAATCATTATAATCATTCTAATTATTATTAATACCGTTTACAACGAAAAAAAAAGGGATAACGAAATTAAAACAATCAAAACGTAAGTTTTTATATTGAGAAAAGCTATTTTTCATTTTTGAAATTGAGATCATAAATTTTGATGGTAGATACATAAAAAAAAGTGACAAATTCTTTTTCTTTTTCCTTTGTTAGCTTATTCTACATTTTTGAGCAGAGATCGCGTAGAGCTCAATCACCTAACCGGGTCAAATGTTATAATAAAAGATGTGACTTTGTACCAAACC